CAGCTCCTGGCCAGACCCTTCCTCATTCACCTTTTACACGTTCTTTTTCATGCGTGGAACTTTTTCATCCTTTTTGCTTTAAACCTGAAATCCACGAGCGGCCACTTCTGAAGTGATAAAAATCTTATTCCCTGCCTTTGTTCGTTTCTTTTTCTTTTCAGGCAATTGTAGCTTACAACACCTTAATTATCGCGTCTCTGAAAACTGGTTAAAGAGTTTAATACTTCCTTCCCCGGACCATTATGCAGTAGACTTCTCAGCCCCATAAAATGTGCCTTCTGGAAGCCGAGCACTTCTGCTGCTGCAGTTCTGTGCTCATTCCTTGCCCTGATGGTTCAAGTGCCTCCGGCTCCTCCCTTGCCTCTGCCCTGGCCCTCCTAGCAGGCTAGGCAGGTGAGAAGCGCCAGAGAGGCAGCCGGAGCAGATTTTCAGTTAGAATGCAGGCTTTTTAATCTAAAGCACATTACACAGCTAGTGAGTTATGTTGCATCATTTTAATCAGCCAGCACATCTGCAGAAGGTGCAAGTTTCCAGGAGCCGGGGTGCAAGAATGATGGTATAAATCACGGCGAAGGCAAATCCTTGACATCACCTTCATTTCTGAATTTGATCCTCTGATTTAGCAGCGCAACGCTGGCTTTCTGGCACTCGTTTTGCCTGCCTGTTTGCTATTTAATAGCTACAAGGCTTGTCAGACATCTCCATGCATCCGATGTCCTGGCGTTTCAAAAACCCCTGTGCTGGGTTTTCTAAGACGGTTGGATTAATCATGGATTTTGGCCACAGACGTGCAGGGCTGTCTCACTGGAAGGGTTCTGCTCCAGGAGAGCGGCTGTGCCTCCCTGCAAAGCCATTTGGGACACACGTGCTGTGTGAGCTCAGCCTGGTGAGATCTCATCCCTTTCATCCCAGAAAACAGACAGGGGGAAAAATCCACCAGGTCCCACAGTGGCCGTGCCTGTGGGACGAGTGAAGTTTAATCCCCACCGATTTTTATTTAGGTGAGTTTTAAATAACTCAAACGCTTCCCTGAGGGAACCATCCCACAGCCCGACAGATTTCAGCACTAAGCAGTTTTTCCTGGTGTTCAGCCTAAATTTTCTTTTGCTCTGTTTTAGCCCATTACTCCTGCACTATAAAATGTCTCAGGTAATTTAAATATGAAGTGGCTGAGGAATACATTTTGGGATGCAGATCGTCATTTGATGAGAGTGTGACTGTGCACGGTAAGAAACTGCAAGGTACAGCTGCTCAGGAGGTGATGGGCGTGATGCTGAGCTGACGGGGAACTGTAAATTGGGGGTGATGCTGGCTTTTACCAAAGGGTGTATGATAACTTCTATTTCACCTTGTCCCTTGAGAATGAAGCAGGTGGGGGTGAATGCCCCAGATCACTCCCCCAAATGGCCTTATCATTTTAAATGAGGTTTTGAGAGAGGTGGAAGAGGGAAGAAATGAAACCCAAGAGACCAGTGTACACACATACTGATGGTGTAGGAATGGGACAGTGTGATCTAGAGGCAGGAAAGCTCTGAACTGTCTATGCACATGGCACAGGGCATCTCCTGGGCCCTCAAAATTCGAACAATGCAGGAATTAAGTGATGCCCTTTCTTTTCTCACAGGTTCCTCCCCAGTTGTAGACAAGGACTCTGGGGGAGTATCTGCATCCCTCCAGGAGCTCGGTGCAGCATCACTCTCCTGAGTGCTGGGAAGGGAGCCTTCATGGGAGCTTAGTTCATGAAACTCCTGACACCCGCAGCCATTCACACTCTTCATTCACACTCCCCATTCATGCTTTTCCATTCACTCACTTTCAGTCTATGCACACTCTCTGTGCATGCTTCTCTGCCTCTCTATGGTCAGGCCTGGCTGAGACTGTGCCTGTGGCCGCTGCAGTGTGTGGGGGTGATGATGCCAAAGGGAAGGGAGCCACGAATCCCCATGGCTTGCTGGGCAGACAGGCAGGCATGGGCAGGGCCACAGCCTCTTGGTGATTTGTCTCGTGCATCCAGCTCCTTGTGGAAGCATGAGCGTCACCCATAAAGCCTGGGATTTCTGGAGAAGTTCAAGGTGTCATTGCCCCCTGCACCTGCCCTACAACTGCTTGGAGATGCTTGCTTTGGGTCTCCAGGATAACAATCCCTGCTGCTGCTGGTGCAACCAAGGCTGGGAACCACTTCCCAAACTGCCTGAGGAAGTGCCCCGGTTTGGCACCACCAATCTCTTTATTAGGGCTGGGTGAGAAAAGCAGGATTTTGTCCCTGTCTTCGCTGTGTGGGTGTTCCCAGCTGTAGGGGCAGCACAGGGAAGGGTTGGGAAAGGGTTTTCCTGTTCCCTGAGACAGATGCCCACGTCTCATAGGTGCCCCACTGCCAGGAGTAATTCCTCTCCCCATGTGCCTTTCACACGTTGTGCTGGGTTGGTGTCTGCTGAGACATTCCTGCAAGGGCTGAGGCCATGGACCCAGCATGTGGCAATCCCTGACATGCTGGCTGTGGCTGTGCCACTGGAACCCACAGCCAGATGGCACGGGGTGGCCTTTGGGTACTCACCAGTGGCTCTGCATGCCTGGCATGCTGGAAACCCTCATCCTGTTGGCAGCAAGCTGTGGTGCTGAGGTGAGGGGCTGCGATGCCAGAGTGATGCCAGGGTGCTCCTGCCTTCATCTCCCTCTGTCCCCTGGGGACCTGAGAACGGGACAGCATCCTCCTTCTGTATTCCCAGTCTCTGGATCCCCACCTGAGCCTGTGCTGGGAGAGCCGTCATTGCCATGGCAACTGATCATGATGTCATCGGCAGAGATGATGGAGCAGGGATGGCAAGAATGGGCAGGCAGCAGGCAGGGCAGGCAGCACTTCCCTTGCCCCAGCCATGCAGGTTGTTCTCTCAACCTCCCCTCCGAAACCTGACAATTATTTTCTTTCTCTGTTTGTTTTTTGTCCTTCCTCAAGTATTTTCATTGCTTTTGAATCAGGGCATCCTCAGATGAGCACAAGGCCCAGCTGCCTGTGCTCCACACACAGAGTCACAGAACGGTTTGGGTTGGAAAGGACCTTAATATCATCCAGTTCCAACCCCCTACCATGGGCAGGAAACCTCACACTAAACCATGTCGCCCAATACTCTGTCCAGCCTGGCCTTGAACACTGCCAGGGATGGAGCATTCACACTTCTTTGGTGCCTCACCACCCTCACAGTAAAGAACTTCCTTATATCTAACCTGAATTTTCCCTGTTTCAGTTTAAACCCATCACCCCTTGTCCTGTTGCTACAGACTCTGATGAAAAGTCCCTCACAGAGGCTTTTGGGTAAAATACAGAACCTTCACCGGTGCAGGGTGCCGGAGGAGAAATAGGGGTATCAGTGAGGGAAGAAACAAGGGAGACAAATGTGCCTCAGGGTGCCACAAAACCAGGGAGTTCCGAATGCCTTTAGTTGAAAGTGAAGTGCCCCCAGTGGGGTTCATCTCCATTTGTGAACTAGAATGTGAACTGACCTGATTTAAAAAATATATTTCTTAATAAAAAGCAAACTGACTCCAGAGTGGGGGTATTTATTGTAAAGATTTTCATAATAGAAACTGAACTGACTCTGAAGGGTTTTTAAAACTTTGTCTATTAGAAAGGGAACTGACTCCAGCTGTAATTTAGATTTCCTTCACAGAAAGAAAACCGATGCTGGAGGTTTTCTGCTTATTTTTGTAATAGAAAGTGAAGTGATTCCACAGTTGTTTATTTTTAAATGTTCTTAATACAAATAGAACTGACTCCAAAGTTTGTTTGTTATTATTGTTACTGTAACATAAAGCAAACTGGGTGAGCTTTGTATTTTGCTTTTTTGCTTTCTGAATGAAAACTGAACTGGCTCTGGAGTTGGTTGGTTGCTTAATTTACAAACAATTCCTTCTTTTAATTTTATCAATAAAAGTGGAATTAACTGTAGAGGGGGTTAAAAATTAATTTTTTTTTTTTTTTTGTAATTAAAAGTGAACTGACTCCAGAGGTTTCAAAAATATTTTCTCAATAGAAAGTGAACTGATTCGGGGAGTGAATTCAGGAAATGAACTGATTTTGGGGAGGTTTTTTTTTTTTTAATTACGGCTTTATGATGATTGTGGGGTTTATTTGTTTTCTTTCTTTTCTTTTTCTCCCCAAACCCTCCAAGTTTAAAAACCCCAACACTTCACCAAATTAAAAAAAAAGTAAAAGTGAAAAACTCAATAACCTCCAAAGCCCTCCAAAACCCTTCAAAGAAACCCCAAACCACCTCAAAACCACACCAAAACCTCAAAAACTTCAAAAACACCCCCCCTCCAAAAAAACCCGAACATTCAAGAAAACTTCAACAAAACAATATTAGAAAACATTCAGAAAACCCTTATAAAACATCCAAAAACTTAAAAAGGCCCCCAAAACTTCAACAAAACTGCAAAAAAAAAGAAACCCAAACAAAAAAATCTTAAAAAAATCTCCCAAACCTCCAACAATCTTTAAAAAAGAAACCCCAGCTCCCCAGGATTCAGATGAGCTGCCCCGGAAGGTGGATCTGCAGCACCTAAGGTGAATCAGCCTCACCCGCAGCCGCTCCGCACCCGAACCCTACCGCCCTCTCCCCGCCGGTCGCTCCGCTCCCTCCCCCGGTTCCCAGGCGGGGCCGCTGCCCTCGGCGCCCGCTGGGCGGCGCTGTTGGACCGCGGCTGAATGCCGGGGCGGCGGGGCTGTGCCGTCGGGGCGGGGATGAGCCGTCGGGGCGAGGGGGCCCCGTGCCCGCAGCAGCCTGTCCGCACCGCCGTGCCCGCATCCCCTCCCACCTCACCCGGTCACCGCTCCGTGGGGCCAGGGGATAAAGCGAGGGGGGGTGTTAAAAAGTGGTACGCGCGCCCTTTAAGAGGCAGGAGTGGGCGTGTCCCCGCCCGGCAAGGCCCCCCCCCGCGCCGCTCAGCGATTGGCCGTTCCGCTTAGGGCTGCCCGTGCCGTTGCCTGCGCGGAGGAGTAGAGCGCTCGTCGCGGCGGGCGGCGCCGCTGTGCGGGAGGAGACGGCGGCGGCGTCGGCGGCGGCGGGGCGGGAGACGGAGGAGGGCGGCGGGGAAGCGGCATGGGCGCCTGACGCCCGTCCCGTCCCGCCGCCGAGGGACGATGGCGCGGCCCTGCGGCGGGCGGTGGCTGCTGGGCGTCCTCCTCGCCCTGTGCCGCTTGGCCGCGCCGCTCGCCAAGAGCCTGGAACCGGTCTCCTGGAGCTCCGGTAACCCCAAGTACGTGCAGCGGAGGGGCGCGGGGGAACGGGGGGGGAGAACCCGCCTCGGACCCCCTGGCAAAAAAAAAAAAAAAATTACCAAAAACCGGGAGAATCTGACGCGCGCACAAAATATTTTAACCAAAACCGCAGGATTTTTAAGGAAAAAAATCCCTCCCGTGAAGCGGAGCGGGCAGCGAGGAGCGGCTGGAGGCTGCGGTCGACGGACGGAGAGGAGCGACCCCCGGTTGGAGTACGGACCCCTCGGCGAGCCCCGGCTGGCGGGCCCCCGGCGGGCTCCCACCTTCTTTTGTGCTTTGTAAAATACTTTGATTTTTTTTTTTTACTAGTTTTTAAAAATTCCGTTGGGTTTTTAGAGCTTTTCTTACCTTTAAATCTTTTTTTAATTTTTTTTAATTTTCAAAACGCGTTTTATTTTTTCGAGTTTTACAATTTTTCATATACATGTGGGTTTTTTCTCCACCTTTACGCTGTTTTTGCCCCGGGATTTAAGGCAGGCTCCGCCGCCCCCGACCCGCCCGCGCTCCGGAGGGGGGCCGGGGGGCCGCCACCGCCCCGGATCGCCGCCGCTAGAGCTGGATTTACTGCCTATACTTTGCATTGGTTTTGATGGGTTTTCCCTTTGCTAAGCGGGAGGGGGGGCGGCGGTGGGACCCTCGGTCCGGCGGGGAGAGCCGGGCCCGAACAAAGCCGGTGGTGGGGTGCGAACACCCCCCCCCCCCCAGCCTTGCCGTATGTACAGCTGAATTACATAGATGTGTGTTTATTATAGATCGATGTTTGTTATATATATGTATGGGGTGTGTGCGTACGTGTGACTGCCCCGGCTGAGGAGCTGGAACAATGCGAGGGGGCTTTTCCAGCCCGTCGGGATGCAGGGTGAGGAGCAGTGGAGGTGCCAGGGTGGTGGTTTTGGTTGCCCTCTTGCTGGGCTGTATCTTGTAGATCACAGAGTGTTTGTTTATCTTAGCCCCTTCTCGGTTTGAAAGAAAATAATCCTGCCTTTAGGTTGAGGTTGTGTGTTTTTTCTTCCCACCACCACATTTGTCCAAGAAAAAAGGAGTTTTTTGGGGTTGTAGGGAACCGAAATAATTTGGACAACTGTCCTGCGTGGACACTTGTGTTCCAACCAAACCTTTATTTCGTTGTGTATGGGGAAAGCAACTTCGCAGGCACATGCTGCGGAGGTGCAGCCTGGTGCTGGGACGAGCCGTGAGGGCTCCCACGAGTTGATCCTCCTGCGTGGCGTGGTTTTCCTTCCCATCCCTTTGGCGACGGGAGCAGAAGGAGCCTTGACCCTTGGGAGCTGCTCTGCTGGGTTTGTGGATCTGTGATACTGGCGACAGGAGGCCGGTTGTTTCCAGAAAATACCTTTTATTGTTGAAGAAAGGGCAGCTGGAGGTAGAAACCTCTTTGGCTCAGTGCTGTTGGGGGGTGCTCTGTCACCCCAGTGCTCTTCGTTAGCCTTGGCTTTATTAAAGGGTTAAGTCTGGGGCAGCCGACGGGTGTGATGAGGTGGCCATGGTGGTCGATGGCATGATGGTGGGTTCCCACCACCCTCTCCATCTGCTGGGGGCCGTGCTGGGCTGGTCTTTGGGTTTTCCCCCAGGTTGGAGCTCTGTGATCGTCTGCCTTTCGCGGGGTTTTCTGGGTGCGTGTTATCCCATGTGGGGACCTCTCCCTTGGGCAGAGCGAGGAGGTGGAAGTGCTTGGAATGCTGGCGTTCCCACCCAGAAACGAATGGGTGCTATGGAAGGGTTCATGGGGGTGCCAGTCCCCGGCCATGGGCCCACTTGTGCCCCATCAGTCTGTGTCCATGTGGCCTGACCCCGGACCCTTGTCTTTAGGGTTCGCCTTTGTGGTCCTTTGCTTTCTTTCGTGCCTTCCTGCTTTGCCTTCGATGTTCGCAGGTTGTGTGGCGTTGAGTGGAGCCTCTTCATGGCCGCTCCTGCCAGCAGACCAGCCTGGGGAGCTGTGTGCTGCACAGAGCCCGTCTGCAGCTCCAGGAAAAGCCGTGCTCTTTGTTAGGCTGGGATTACTCCCCTGGATAGATGCATTAACCCCCCACATGCGCTCCCCACCATACTCCAGGCTTCCAAGCCCCTTCCTCCGCTGTTTCGTGGGCGCTGCCGTGCCTGTGCCAGCTCTCCTCCCCGCTCTGCTGAGCTTCAGCTTGTGTTTTTAGAGTAAAGAGAGCTAAAGCCTTTAAAAATAACACGGCTAAGTGGAATTTTCCAACAGATACAAGGAGAAAACGTCGCGCGTTGGGGCCGTTCGGCCTTGGTGCTATTGCTGTAAATAATGAAAATATTTTCCTGCCCTTTCCTCCCCTAGGCAGCTCGGGGCTGTGCTGGGAGCGTGTGGGTTTAAACTTCACCGGGGCGTTCCCGGCAGGTTCCTGGTCTGGTGGTGGTTATCAGAGCGATGCTGATAACGCACCTGATGGAAGGAGCGATTTCCTAATCGAGTTAAGTTTAGCTTAAGCTGCAGCACTGTCTGAGTGCTGGGGAAGCGTTTCTCTTTGGTTCCTAGGTGCGTGCCCAAATGCCAGCAATGAAATCATCACCGCCTTCTGATCGTGAATAATTCACTGTCTTTAACGGGGGAAAAACAGGCCTAGAAAAGCTTTCGCTGGGTGAAAGGTGATGATTGTCACAAACGTGAGGCTAAGTTAGATCCCCTCGGAGCGAGCTGCGTGTGGAGCCCCTTGGGAGGGGTCTTAGGGGGCCAGTATGGTCTTAATTTTATCCCATCGTGTCTGAAGGACCCTTTTGGGATTTCCTTGGCCCTGTTGCTGCTGGGCCGGGGAGGTGACTGGAGCATGTGCTTGTTGGACAGCCGGGAATAGATGGAGAAATTCTGGCAAAATCCTTCCTCAGCTCCCTTGGCTGTGATTTTGGAGAAATACTGACCCTGGTGGGCTCCTGTGCCGGCTCTTAAAAGGAAGCATTTCTAATAAAATATGGTTTGGAAAATTCATTTCAGGCTGGAATTCGCTTCTCCAGAAAGTATTTTAATAAGAAGGTGGGGGGAAATGGGACACATCATCCGCGCAGCTCCGAAGAGCGGGTTGTTTCGGCTCTGCTTTTCTCTCTCGCCCTTTATATAAAGTTTTACTCGGCTCCACTGGCTCTGTGCAGCAACCCAGAAACTTCCTACAAACAAAATAAATGCATTTATTTAATAGAAATAAAAAAGCAGGGGGAAGAGGAAAAACCCAGACAAAAAGTCTAATCCTTTCTGGTATTTTTATTCTCTTTAATGACATTATGGTGTCCTATTGAATTCTGTAAGCACTGAATTTGAATCCTGGCATATCTTTGCCATTTTTAATGCCTTTTTCGAGGGACAAAGTGCTCTCGGGAAGGCTGGTTCCAAGGGAAGGGCTCTGCGGCGGTGGGCTTGCACTTGTTGGAGCACATGTAATTTAATTACCATACCAGTGGGTGCATGAGGCGCTTCGCAGTGTAAACAGTTGGGAAATAGTGAAAACAGGCTCCTTTATGTGTAATTAAAAGTGGTTGGTTTGCAGAGTCTTTGGGGAGCACGAGGGGGCTGAGCGGTGGGGGGGCACAGTGGTCCTGTATGGGATCCAGTGGCCCCTCCACTCTTCCTTGGGCTTTGCTTGATCTCCGCAGGATGGTTTGGGCTAAGTGAGCCTGGATGGTCTGCATCCCGGCTGGAGTTTCACTCTTGGAACTGAGGAGCCCGTTCCAAGCCTGTAGGCTGCTGCTGGGTGCCCAGGAGCATGGGAGGCTCTTGCTCTCCCTACCCCAAAGCAGAAACCCCCATGCTGGGCCCATGTCTCAGCAGTGATGTTACCCTTCCTGCTGCGCTTGGGGTGAAGGAGCACGCTGGGCTCCTTGTGTGTCGTTTGGGAATGACTTCATTAACTTAAATTAAAAAACCAACAAAAAAAAAGTGAAGGCAGGGCTGCGGCTATTGCAGTAGCTGGGTAAATACCACTGGATTCTATAAAATGGATTTAACTGCTTCCTTTAAAAGAAAAAAAGAGCCGTGATGGGGTGTCTGATTGATTGTAAAAGGAGCTGTAGTTTTCTCAGAGCAAAACAGCTGCTGCAGCTCCTCGGAGCCTCATGGCAGCGGGGACGAGGATGGGGCTTTTGTGCTGTTTCAGGCCATGGAGGGCTGGGACGGAGCTGTTGGGGGGCTCCTTCCCTCTGCTGCACCTGAGCCACTTCATTGCTTTGGTTATTTCAGCTGTGCCTTGGATCCCTGTCCCATATGGTCTGCGTGTGGATGTGCCCATGTCCTTGTGAGGTGCGGCTGAGCGGGCAGGGGTCCCCTCGAGCCCTGTGGATGTTTGTTCAGGTCATAGGGATCACCAAGAGCAGTGGTGCACGTTCAGCCCCTTGCACAGCACATGTCGGGAGGTGTTTGGGTTGTCCCTGGAAACTGGGGGCTTAGTGGTAGGGATGGCCCCTTGTTTCCATGCAGGATCTCTGGGTCCCGCAGCCACCCTGGGGCACCCTGGTCCCTGCCTTGCTGGCACCCAGCGGTGGCAGTGCTGCTGGGAAGCCTTGTCTGCTCGAGGAGTGCTGGGTCCGGTGGGAAAACATCTTGTACCGATCAGTAGCACATGCTACTTGGAGTCTGGCAGCTGAAACAGGGTGGGGAGAAACAAAGCTGAAATCCATTCTGTGTCTCATTAATGATTGCTTGTACTGGGAGAGCAGGAGGAGGACTCTGGGCTCGGTCCTATCGCGGCGTCACATCTGGACAGGAATGTGGTGGCGGTGCTGCGGGGCTTTTGTTGTGCTCGCCTCGAAAGAGCCGAGGTCCTGCTGCTGCTTCCCAATGCTTTTCACCTCTCCTCCCTCCTCCAGCAAGCAGAGGGGTGGTGGTGGTGGTTCACATGCTTGCAGAGAGGTTTGGTGCCCCTCAGTGCACACCCGGCATCCTTTGGGGAGGTTTTTCTTGCCCCTTGCGTGGCATCTCCGGTTGGAGCACCGGTGCTGTGCTGGAGCCTCCGGATCC